AACCCGCTGCGCCACCAGGGAGGGCCCTAATTTTAAGATTTTATTTAGTTATGCATACTGGGTGACAGGAGATGAGAGGATTCACCAGCAACAGAGTGGGGAGCAGAATAGGCAGAAGGATGGAAACACACTGCTGAGGGTAGCAGTGGGTGAGACAGGAGAGGTCTGCTGCGCCATGTGAGTCAACTACCTCGCTAGGGATCGAACTTGTGCTGCATTGTCTGCAGATAGCTTGATAGTGCTGTACTTTAACCCCTTGTACCACAAGGGAGGGCCCTGTATTGTCTTATATAGTTTCAGGTCTATGAATCATATGGAATTGGCCTTTAATTTTACTTAAGGTAGTGAGCCATCATAGTTATTATTCTTGGAATGAGTCTTCCCAACATTTATTTATTAAGCAATGTGTTTTTTCCCTCAAATTTCTCTATTTAAGTGGATTAGTTTTAGAGATAGCCCTTTGATCTCTCTATTCCTGCTCCAGAAACACAATGTTTTTGTTGTTTATGGTATAAGATAATATTTGATAAGGAGTCCCTCTGTTTTGTTTTCACAAAATTTTCATAGCTTTTTTATTTTTTAAAGACTTATTTTATTTATTTATGCATATAGGAACTGGGGTGTAGGCCAGAGGTGCAGGGGTGGGAATGAGGATTCACCAGAGACAGTATGAGGAACAGAACAGGTTGGTCTACTGAGATACACTGCTGAGGAAGACAGGAGAGGTCTGCTGCATGTTGTGGTGGGTAATTGAACTCATACCTTAGTGGCTGGAGATAAATTGACAGTGGTGAGACTTAATGCCTTGCACCACCAGGGAGGTGCTCTAGATGCTTTTTTAAAGCTGATACTACTTTATGTTTTTTTCTATTATATTTCTAATTGCTTATTGATGTGTAGAAGAATGATAAATGATTTATTTCTAAAGTTGTTCTCTTTCTAAATTTTTCCATGACAAAAACTTGTGATATGATCTCCACGGAAAGTTCTTTAATAAGTTAAATTTTTTAAAAAGATGTATTTATTTATGCATACAAAGACTGGGGTACAGACCAGAGTTCCAGGGGGTCAAGGGGATTAAAGGCAGAGTGGGGAACAGAACCGACAGACCTACTGAAGTACACTGCTAACGGGAGCAGTGGGTGGGTCAGGAGAGGTCTGCTGTGCCATGTGGGTCACCTCCCTGGTTGGGAATCAAATTCATGATGCAGTGGCTGTAGATAGCTCATAAAGCTGTGCTTTAACAACTGTTGTGCCACCAGGGAGGACCCCCTAATAAGTAAAATTTACTTGATGTTTAAAAATATTAGACTACAATAAAATTAGGACAATAAAAACTTCTTTGGGCATAATAATTAAGTTATGAGGCCTCCCTGGTGGTGTGGGGATTAAGTCTCAGTGTTATCATGCATCACCACTTTGGCCTGAGCTTGATCCCCAGCCAGGGAGCTAATCCACATGTGGCGCAGCAGACCTCTTCTGTTTTGCCTGCTGTTCTCCTTAGCAGTGTATTTCAGTAGATATGCTTCCCAATCTCTCTCTGGTGAATCCTTTTGCCCCCTCCCCTGCACCTCTGACCTACACCCCAGTTCTTGTATGCATAAATAAATAAAAACAACTCTTAAAAAAATAAAATCTTTCAAAAAATAATTAAATTATAATAGTTCTAGGTACTAGATTGGAAAAAAATCTGATTTTTTTTAACATAATATGATAAAAATGGAATTTAGTTTGGTCTCCCAGAGCCAATAATACTACATCAGAGTCTTTCAACAGAGTATATATACTTCTTTCCTGAACATTTTCTGATACATTTGATAATGACTACATTCAAAACAGTGTATTTGTTCTCTCCTTCATTTGTGACATGTACTTTAGAACAATTTTGTAATATTCTTACTCAGAAGAAATTTCAGTGAAAAAACTACTGGACATTAATCAAAAGGAAATAGTACAAATCTATATATCAAGTTAGTTTGAGGGAGGGGAAAAAACCATAAAGCCATGTGTTATTTCTTGTAGAAACCAGACTTGTCCATAAGTTCTAAGAAAGTTTAGCTTATTTCTAGTTACAGTGAATTTTCCATGGTTTGCATGTTTATGTAGAGTTTTCTTTGCTGTTGTATAATATGCCTTTGGTAATATTAATAGAACTTGCCAGGAAACCTTGTGGGAAGGACCACTGAGGAATTGTTCTATTTTCTGATCCTGATACAGCAGAGTTTATCAAGCTGGAGACTCACGGATCCTTTAGTTCTTTAGATTCTTTAGTTCTCTAGGGAAAATCCAATTAATAAATATGTGCTACTTAAAGGAGCATATATGTAATGATATATTATGATTGTCTTTAGTATTCTGAGACCACTCTATTGATCACAATAAGGAAGATTTTCTTTGGTCTTAAGCTTTTTGTGTAACACATTTTATTATGTAGCTAGCTTTTTAAAAATAAACATTTAGAATTGATTTTATAATGGTTTAAATCAATGGTTTTTAAGTTCTTTTGTTTTCTTGAGGGCTATGTATATGAAAATCTGTTGAAAGTTGTGGATCTTCCTTATCTAGATATGTAGAAAAATATGTATCTATAGATAGGACAGTTTTGCATTCAGTTTTCTAGTGATTCAGGATTGATCACTTTCTTTGCAAGTGATGTGACCATGTTTATAGAAAATCCAAAGGAATTTACCAAAAACAAAAAAGGCAAACTTGAATAAGTTTTGGAGATTAATAATATTATTTTGCAAGTTTGCAGGAGTCAATATGTAAAAATGAAAAACCACTAGTATTTCTGTATACCAAAATTGAAAATAGAAAATTGTAATTTAAAATGCAGTAGTAGGGGCCTCCCTGGTGATGCAAGGGGTTAAGCCTCAGCACTAGAAAGCTATCCTACAGAGTTCGAACCCTGGCCAGGTTGAGCTGACCCACATGGCACAGCAGATCTCTCCTGACCCGCCCGCTGCTCCCTTCAGCAGTATATTTCAGTCATTGGCCTGTTCTGTTCCCTGCTGTCTCTGGTGAATACTCTCACCCCCTGCACCTCTGACCTACACCCCAGCTCTTATATCTATAAATACATTTTAAAAAGCTTTTAAAATAAACTAAAAAGCAGTAGTAGCATTTGCAATAAACATTAAATTCATGAAATTATTAAAGATAAATTTAACAACATATGGTTAATGGTCAGTGAAACAAATTGGTCAGTGAAAACATAAAACATCACTGAGAAAGTATTGTTCAGTATAAACGGTGTTATAAGAAAACAAATCCACAAAGGCAAGAAGCAGTGGTTATGTATTTCCTTTTAAGGGTTTATCTTACTCTCTCTTCTCATAAATGAACCTTCATTGTATGTGTCAAGATATTTTAAGTGTGTGTGTGTTTTTTTTTTTTTGCCTTGTTCAAAGCTCTTTACTGCCTCTTTAAAACATCATATCTTTATTTCTTATGTACCTAACACCCTATGTATAATCATCTTTTTGTTTAAAATCTGGATAATTCTAAATTGGCTAGTAAGATAACTTTTAAGATTCTAAGTTCAAAACTATGACCAATTTAAACAACTTTCAGGAAGCTAAATCATCTAGTACCTCTGTACTTATTACACTGGAACCAACCTCTAAAAACACAAATAAGAACAAGTATCTACTGAATTTTGAATAAATTCTGATTATATCTTTCAGTTGAATAACAACAGAATTTTTGGGGGTGTTCAAAGGGGAAGTTGGAGAAAGTAAGTTGAAGAAAGGAGGAAAAAGCATGTACTTTTTAAAAAAGATTTTTTTTTTTATTTATGCATACAAGAACTAGGGTATAGACGAGGGGCACAGGGGGCAAGAGGATTCCCCAGAGACAGAGTGGGGAGCAGAACAGGCAGATCAAAGAAGTATAGTACAGAGGGGAGCAGCAGGTAAGACAAGAGGTATGCTGCGCCATGTGGGTCAGCTTCCTGGCTGGGAATTGAGATCACTCTGCAGTGGTTGGTCATATCTTTAGAGAGCTGAGACTTTAACCCTTGTTCCACTAGGGAGGCCCCAAAATATGTGCTTTTAAATCATTGCTCATGAAAGATAATACAAAATATTTCTTATAAACTAGAACATTAAGGTTGAACATCTATGCAGGCTATGACTGCTAGGACATTAAGGCTCAACATATGCAGACCAAGACTGCTAGAATTGATATAAAGGAGAAGGTGTTCTTTCTTGTACTCACTTGTCTAACATGGCTGGCATATTTTTGAAAATCTGTTTAAAGTATCTGAAATGTAAACATTTCTGCATTAGAAAGAACAATTAAATAATATGATTTAAATTAAATGTCTAAATGTGATCTCTTTTTCAGAGGAGATGAGAAAACAAGGCTTATGTCAGTGGCTAAGTTCTCTTCAAATTGATAACAACTCTCCAGACTTGCATCTTACTGTGGGAGCACTGATTGTGGAGGAAATGAGGGCAGCCATAGAAAGGCAGACTGGTTTTCAGTGTTCAGCTGGAATTTCACACAACAAGGTAAAGATTGATTTAATTTTATTTTTTAAAGATTTGTTTCTTTATGCATACAAGAACTGGAGTGTAGGACAGAGGTGCCGGGGGTGAGAGGATTCATCAGAGACAGAATGCGGAGCAGAACAGGCAGATTAACTAAAACACATTGCTGAGGGAGCAGCAGGCGGGTCAGCAGAGGTCTGTCATGCCATTTGGGTCACCTCCCTTGCTTGGAATGGAATTCATGCTGCACTGGCTGAGGAGAGCCTCATAGTGCTGTGCTTTAACCTGTTGTGCCACTAGGGAGGGTCCAGTGAAGACTGATTTCAAAGAGAAAGGTGGATATCTCTAGCTAGAGACAGGAAGCTTAAACATGAGAGAGACATTTAAGTCAATACACATATGCTTTGTAATGAGTTTCTATTTAAAATTCAGAGGGAAATTACCAAACCATATTGCAAAAAGTTTTGGTTTTCTGGCTGGGTAGAGGGAGGAGAAGCAGAAGTTCAATGTAGTCATTAAAACCATACTAAAAATTGCCTAGTAAAATTTCCTAAAGAATCTCTCCAGTAGTGTGACCTCACTAGTGCGCAAGGGGTTAAGACGCAGTACTATGAATCGAGCTATAGCCGCTGCAGTGTGAGTTTGATCCCTGGTGAGGGAGGTGACCCACATGGCACAGTAGACCTCTCCTCTCTCACCTGCTGCCCCACTCTGCAGTGTATTTCAGTGGATCTGCCTGTTTTCACTCTGTCTCTGTTGAAATCTCTTACTGCCTGAATCTCTGGCCTACGCTCAAGTTCTCTAGTGAATTAATTCAAAGAATGATTTTATACTTTTCCTACTAATGATATTTTCTGAAATGATACCATTAGGATACTTTATTCTTTGAAGTGTTTGCCAGGATTTAATTTCTTCTTTTTGAAGTCTTGTTTATAGTATAAAATGTTAGTTCTTGGATGACATGAGCCCAAGCTTTAGTCTGTGTTAAGTCTGGCAGTCAAAGTGAACTAACCAAGAAATGTAAAATGTAGGGAATGTTTCAGCAGTTTCTTATGGACATATTAAGAAAGTTTTCTTCTGTAGCATCTCTACTTTTACTTTGTTGAAGTGGGAAAACATCAAGGAATAAATGGTGGAAGAAAAAATGAGTAATGGACAACTAAGAATGAAAGATATGGAAAGAACAGTGAGGATAGTGTGTCATGTTTTCAGTGGAAACGTGACACTGAAAGCATGTCTTTAGTGTCTGATTTGTTTTTAATTCGGAAACCATTAATTACAGCCTTTAAAGTGTGTGTGTCTGTGAATATTCTCTAACTCTCTGTGAGCATATTGATAGTTATGAAGTTTTTACATTTTCCATATTCCAGGTCCTGGCAAAATTGGCCTGTGGACTAAACAAGCCCAATCGCCAGACTCTGGTCTCACATGGGTCAGTCCCACAGCTCTTCCGCCAAATGCCTATTGGCAAAATGTAAGTATTTAGGGAGCACATTAAATTTCATTCATATACATGTAAAGGCCTTTTTTGTAGTTTTTTCTGTTCCTTATGAAGGACTGAAGCTAGAGAAAACAAGTATTAGGGAGGGAGAGGGAGATAGCAAAATATTTTGCAAAACAGGTTGACTTTTTCTTTTAAAAAAATTATTTATACATACAAGGTGTAGGTCAGAGGTACAGTGGGTAAGAGGATTCACCAAAAACAGAGTGGGGAGCAGAACAGACAATCTACTGAAATACACTACTGAAGGGAGCAGTGGGCCAGGCAGGAGAGATCTGCTGTGCCATGAGGTCAGCTCCTTGGCTGAAGATCGAACTCATGCTGCTGTGGCTGGCAGTGGCTTGATATCTCTGAGACTTTAATCCCTCAGCACCAGAAAAGTCCCCTGAGACTTTATTGTAATAAATTTCAGTCATGGATTAGCTGTGGAAGCTGCTAAATCTTTAATTTAAAAAAAAAACTGGGCTTTTTGATCAAACCTATTACTAAATAACTAATTTCTTCTGATATCATTGTATTCAGGGCTACTGAATTGCTGTCAAACTTGACATAAGAGAATAAGCTAAATAAAATCAATGAATGGCTTGTGCCTAACAACTGTATGACCTTGACAAGAACTTAAAAAAATGTTCTTAAAGGGATATAACACTTCACAGCAACCTTGAAAGTGCTGACACAAGAGTATACATGACTAATTGCTAAATGAATTGTATAGTTACCAAAGTACACAGTATTTATGAAGAAGGCATGTGATTTTGAGATTTGGCTCAATTTAGAGACATGAGAATAGAACAATGTGAACACAAAGAGGGGGGAAAGGACGAGGTATTTTCAGTGACTTGGGACAAAAATAGTTAACTGATAAGTCACTGATAAGTGACAGAAAGAGGGCTGAAATGATAGTCTGAGGATAGATTTTAGGAAGCCTCAAAAGCCAGACCTTTACTCATAGAAAGTAGGATTTGCTTGGGATTAGAATTTTAATCCCTACTTGGGACAGTAAATTCTATACAATTGAAAGTTTTATAGACAGTTGACTTGACAACTAATCAATGACTTTAACCTTTTGTTTGTGCTATTATTAATTTTATTCCCAGACCCTATCTTCCAAGATATCTGAATTCCCAGAACCACTTAGTCTGAGAAAATTAATAGTCTATGAGACCAGTGTGGTCTCATTTCGCTTGAACTTTCAAAGAGTAATTATGGCAGCAAAATGTCTTATGTTTGCTACTCCCTGGATATTCATGGTGATATATAAATTCTTTTCTTATTAGCCGTAGTCTTGGAGGAAAGCTTGGGGCATCGGTCATTGAAATTCTGGGGGTAGAATACATGGGCGAACTAACCCAGTTCACTGAATCCCAGCTTCAGAGTCATTTTGGGGAAAAGAATGGGTAAGTGATTCATAATACTTTTTTTTTTTAAAGATTTATTTATTTGTTCATACAGAACTGGGGTACAGACCAGAGGCTCAGGGGTGGCGAGAGGCTTCACCAGAGACAGAGCGGGGAGCAGAACAGGCAGATGGAGGAAGTACACTGCTGAGGGGAGCAGCGGCGGGTCAGGAGAGGTCTGCCACGCCATGTGGTCACCTCCGGGGCAGGCAGGAATCGAACTCATGCGGAAGTGGCTTTAGCTTCTCAGTGCTGTGCTTTAACCCGCTGTGCCACCAGGGAGGGCCTCATAATACTTTTTAACCATAACTTTATGGAGATGCTAAATTCAAATATAGACAAAAGCATCTAATAAAACCAAGATCTGTCTTTAGATTTAACATTCGTTCCTTAAGTAATTTCCGTGGCCCTTTCATTTTAAAACATTAGATCACTAGAGTCTATCAGTCTAGGTTATTACGTTTTTTTATACGTATACGGTTGATTGTGTGCAAAGTTAATATTCCTTTGTAATCTTTTTATTTAGGCTGTAGTAAGTACCAAAAAGCATGAGTATATGAATTAGGAATTTACATGGTACTTTTCTGAAAATAAGATTAGATTAGAAAACATAACCACTGTTCCTCTCCTTGGCAATATAGTGCGCTGAAATTCAGTAGGACAGTCAGGAATTCTGTCAGTGTATACTTAATGAAAGGGTTAAAAATATAATATATGCAAATTAAAACTGGTGTTTTAACATAAATAATCATTCCCTTCATCTTAAATTTTGCAATGCTTTTATTAGGTCTTGGTTGTATGCAATGTGTCGTGGGATTGAACATGATCCAGTTAAGCCCAGGCAACTACCCAAAACCATTGGGTGCAGCAAGAACTTCCCAGGAAAAACAGCTCTGGCTACTCAGGAACAGGTGGGTAGGCATTCTGGGAGCAGTGCTACTTAAGCGAGAGAGTGGGTACATCTTGGTAGCTGTGGGAGATTTAATAAGTTACATGGGACCTTTGTAAAGTATGAAGGAAAATGTCCTTTTTATTGTGTGTGGAAAGTTAACTCATTTAATTTGTAACATAATACTTTCCCTTGTTTTAAATCTAAAATGGAACTGACTGAAGGTGGTAGGTGAAAACTTGGAAGACTCAGGATATTATACATCAAGTTTGTCTCTTTTTTCTCAGAGCTGAAACACATGCTTGAAATTCAGCTGATAGTATACCAGCAGGAAAAGAAAACAAAATGTTCAGCTAGGGCAGATCATAGTACTTAAGATTTCCATAATCTGGTGATGGCTATGAAGGAGCCTTTGGTGGACACTTCCATTTGGGGAAAAAATGAACAAATTAGTCCAAATTCTATAATAAATCTAGAGTTAGATGAAAAATTAAAGTCTCAATACTTCTTTTAGGTACAGTGGTGGCTTTTGCAATTAGCCCAGGAGCTGGAAGAAAGACTAACCAAGGACCGAAATGATGTAAGATTATTTTTCTTTATTCTTGGGGTGAGCTTTTTTTTTTAAGATTTATTTATGCTTACAGAACTGGAATACAGGCCAGAGGTGTGGTGGATGAGAGGATTCACCAGAGACTGAGTGGGGAGCAGAACAGTCAGATTGACAAAGTAAACTGCTGAGGGGAGCAGCGGGCAGTTCAGAAGTGGTCTGCCACGCCATGTGGGTCAGCTCCCTAGCCAGAGATCGAACTCGTGCTGCAGTGGCTTCAGAGAGCTTCATGATGTGGTGCTTTAACCTGTTGCGCCACCAGGGAGAGCCCAGGGTTAGCTTCAGAACTTAAATATTAGTTGTTCCTTCTGAAGTAAAAACAAACCTACAGAAAAATACTAGCTTAGAAACTTAAGAGAAATCTTTCTGTATTCCATATAACTCCCAGCATGATCATTGAAAACTGCCATCTGTGAACACAAAACCTGACTAACCTTGTCTTCCTCAGTCCCATTTGCTTCCATTTAAATATTTAACTCTGGGCCCTCCCTGGTGGCACAGCGGGTTAAAGCACAGCACTGAGAATCTAAAGCCACTTCCGCATGAGTTCGATTCCCGCCTGCCCCGGAGGTGACCACATGGCGTGGCAGACCTCTCCTGACCCGCCCGCTGCTCCCCTCAGCAGTGTACTTTGTCGATCTGCCTGTTCTGTTCCCCACTCTGTCTCTGGTGAAGCCTCTCACCGCCCCTGAGCCTCTGGCCTGTACCCCAGTTCTGTATGCACAAATGAATAAATCTTTAAAAAAAAAAAAAAAAACTGCTGCAACTATTGATATACAGTGGCTATCATCAGAATACAGCTGGACATATAGGACATTCGGGATTGAGCTGTACATTATTGGACTTAAAATCAATGTAATGAAGTACTGGCACTTTTAGAGACAAGAATATTAAGTCAGAGATTGATTAGCTTCATAATTTAAAATGCATCCATTTATAGTATACATGTATGTCTATAGTTTTAATATATCCCAGAGTTGTTCATCTTTGCCATAATTTAAGACATTTTCATCACCCAAAAGAGAGATCTTATACTACTAGCAGCTCTAGGCAACCACTAGTCTGCTCCTTTTTTTAAAAAAAATTTACTTATGCATCCAAAACTGGAGTTCAGGTCAGAGGTGTGAGGGCTGAGAGGATTCACCAGAGATAGATTAGGGAACAGAACAGTAGTCTGCTCATTTTTGAATGGATTTTCTATCACTGAGGTTTTTTTCTAATTACATTAAAAAAATGATTATTTCTATATCTATTTACATTATTGTTCATTTTAAAACAATGTTTTCTTTCCCTTCTCTTTCTGATTCCTCTCCCTCCCTGTAGGATATCTGTGGTTATAATTGTTTTGTTTTGTGATAATATAATTATTCCCCCTATGTCTTATTTGGTTCTCTTAAATCATTGAGTTTTTGAGTTCATTATGCATTCTAGGTGCAAACTCCTTCTCAAATACAAATATTTTCTCCCATTTCCTGGGTTTTCTTTTCACTTTCCTCTCCAGTTGAACTGAGACTATAAATTAACTATATTCTGTCGGGAGTTGTCCAAAACTTGGTGTTTGTGCCTTCAACTGACTTGGTGGAGAGTATTTATTTGTATGTAGCACAGAGGGCAATAGGATCCCAGGTGTCATATGTGTTTTGCACTATTTGTGCCCACTAGGTGTCGCTCTGTTCTCATCCCTTTTATAAGCTCCTGGGGCTTTTCTTTCCATTTTGTGTCTTGTACCATACAGTAGGGATCCCTGGGTAATGTATCTTTAAACGTAAAAGGATTTTGTTGAAAAGCGTTCTAGTGATTTCCCTTCACACTTAAGTTCTATGGATTTCTTTTATCCTCTGGCTACTTCTCTGACCTTTTAACACTGTTCTAGATTCCACTTGGCCGCCTCCTTTTATATTTCACACAAGTAAGCTTCCAATTTAGTACTTTGTATATGCTATTCCTATGGCCTGAAGAACCTTTGCTTCCTCACTTTATTCAGCTCTCTGCTCAAATATCATTTTCTCCAAGAGGCCTTTCCCAGTTACCTTATCACATTAACGCACTCTGCCCTTTTTTAAAAGATTTATTTATTTATTTATGCATGCATGCATACAAGAACTAGAGTAATAATCAGAGGTTTGTGGAGGGGGGGGCAGTGAGAGTATTCTACAGAGACAAGAGTGGGGAGCAAAACAGGCAGATCCACTAAAACACACTGCTGAGTGGAACAGTGGGTAAAACAGGAGAGATCTGCTGTGCCATGTGGGTCAGCTCCCTGGCTGGTAATAGAACTCATACTGCAGTGGCTGCCAGTAGCTTACTGCTGAGGCTTAACCCCTTGCAACACCAGAGAGGCCTACATTTTTTCTCATAGCACTCTGAATTAATTTGTCATATGCCTACTTACTTATTAACTGTAGCTTCTACTACAATATCTGTGAGCCCTCAGTCTTTATTTTATTCTTATCTCTCTAGATAGTGCCTAATATATAGCAGGCCATTAACTGAGTTGCTTTTAGTCAACAAAGGCTTCAGTTTGTCTCCTAAAAATATACAAATCAGTATGAATTGTATTTACAAATTCAGGTACCAAAAACAATTGTTGCTGCTTTTGACTTGTTTGCCCTAGATTTGTTTTTACTCACTTACATCTTTTGATTTTGAAAAAAAGACTTCTCACCTTTCCATATTTTGCCTCTTGACCTTTATTTCTTGATTTGCTTTGCATCAGCAGTATTCTGATGTTTCAATTTCACTGAAAAGTGAGTGGGGAAAAAAAGTGCTCTCTAAAGGCAGGCTCACTGCACTGTATCTTCTATATTGGTGGGCTGCAATGAGGTGGCAGCGGTAACTTCTGCTCTTAGTAAGTTTAAGCATCAGGGCAGATTAAAGAATAAATCTTCTATTCAAATCTTGACATCCTTGCTTGAATCTTCCTTTCAGACAATTACTAATATGTGTGCTTAAGTACAAAGTAGAATGTAGTACTGCAGGTATTTGTTATGATCTTCCTTTGTGGACAGGTATATGATTGAAAACAATGAGTCCATTTTCATTTTGTCCTGTTTCATCACCTGTCATAATAGCCTAGATGGTCTAATAAATCCCATCATCCAAAGTATGTCTTCTCCAGTTATTTTTTATATCCAGAAATAACATAAAAAAATTGGCTTTTTTCAAATCATTTTAATCTCCTCTTACGTGATTCAGTTTGTAGAATTCAGATGTTCATGCTAACTATTTCTGGTACCCTTTTACATGCTAAGAATGACAGGGTGGCCATCCAGCTGGCTGTGAGCATCCGTATTCAAGGAGACAAACGTCTTAGCAGCCTGCGCCGCTGCTGTGCCCTCACCCACTATGATGCTTACAAGATGAGCCAGGATGCATTTGCTGCCATCAGGAACTGTAATACCTCAAGAATCCAAACTGAATGGTAAGTGTCTTTCTAGCTCATCTTAGAAGAGCCTTACTTAAACCCTATTTTAGCTCTACCTACTGGGGTCATACTGAGGACAAGAACACAGTGGCAACACCAGAAACAAGGCAGCTAAGTTGCATTTGATGTATTCTAGTTCTAAGACAGTACGAGCCAGTATCAGAATGTGGCTAATTGCACTTGGAATTTCAAGAATATACTTGGGAACTTCTCAATTTCTTAAGTATTTTCCTTTGAAAACAAGCAAAAGCATTTTCTTTGATAATCAAAGTACAACAGTACCTTATGAAAACTAGTTGTAAAGGGATCTAATTTACACACATCTGATTTGATAGGTGTTCATAGTCACTTGTTCTCAAGGAGTGGTCCTTGACCAGAAACATCAGCATTTAGGAACTTGTTAGAAGGGCAAATTTTCTACCCATCCCAGGTCTACTACATTTGTGTTGATCTGATAACCCCTAAAGTTTGAGGACTGTTGCACTAAAACTTTTCTCTGGTAACAGAGACAGAATCCCAAGTAATTTATGAACTGCATCTGTGACCTGCTGCTAATCTTGTTCCTCTACTTTCTATACAGGTCCCCTCCTCTTACAATGCTTTTCCTCTGTGCCACCAAATTCTCTTCTTCTACCCCATCCTCCAGCACAGACATCACCGTCTTCTTGAACAGTGACCCAAATTCTCTGCCCAAGGTGCCAATTACCAGTTCTGAAGCTAAGACTCAGCGAAGTGGCCCAGCAGTTAAAGCCACTAAGAAAGCAACCACTTCTCTGGAATCATTCTTCCAAAAAGCTGTAGAAAAGCAAAAAGTCAAAGAAGCTTCAATTTCATCTTTTACTGCTACTACCCAGGCCCCCATAAACAATTCACCATCTAAGCCTTCATTATCTTCCCAGAGCAGCTGTACAACGGGAGCTGAGTCCTTCCCAGAAGCTGTAGAAAAGCAGAGAGTCAAAGAATCTTCAGTTTCATCTCTTATTGCTACTACTCAGGCTCCCATAAACAATTCACCATCTAAGCCCTTATCTTTCCAAAGCAGTCGTACGACAGGAGCTGAGCCCTTCTTTAAGCAGAAAAGTCTGCTTTTAAAGCAAAAACAGACTAATAGTCCTTCAAAATTCTGTCCTCTACAAAATGCACTGTCCAGCTCTAAAGAGTTGCCAAACTCTTTTTCAAAAGAGTATCCATATCGTGCCCCTATATGTGAAGAGGTATTGGAAGTAGAATCCGCTAAAGTAACTCCTACAGAGATGGATTTGACCCAGGACAGCCCAAACACACTTGTTTCTGTTACTTCCAAGTCTGCTGTGGAGGTTGCTCAGAAAGAAACTACCACCCCAAGTCTTCTGACTGCTGAAGACCAGGTGCCCTGTGAGAAATGTGGCTCTTTGGTACCTGTATGGGACATGCCGGAACATACAGACTACCATTTTGCATTGGAGTTGCAGAAATCCTTTTTACAAACCCACTCCTCAAATCCCCAGGTTGTTCCTGCCAGTTCTCCTCAAAGCAAAAGAAATCCCAAGAGCCCTTTGGCCTCGAGTAATAAACGTCCTAGGCCTGAGGGTATGCAGACACTGGAATCATTTTTTAAGCCATTAACACACTAGTGCTGCCCTCAGGCTTGCTGCAGGGTTTAATATTTCCTCTCTAACCCAGGAAATGGAAATATATTGGCTTCTCAGGAAAATTCATAATTTTATGAAATTTTTAGTAAGAAAAATAATCCAGTTAGGTGCTAATTCAGGTTCTCATCTCTTCACTAGCATGGATTCTAATCCCACTGCATAGGGAGATATAAAAATTGATCTTCCACAGATATAACTTCTTAGTTTTTAATCTTTTGAATTTAGGGAGGTAGTGTCAAATTTTTGGGCCTTGGGGCCCAAGAGCTCTCTTACCAAACCCAGCTCTGTCTCATTATGAGTGTGTTGCTGGTAAAGTTGCATTAATACCTTATAAATTATTAATGGTTAAGAACAATGTATTTAAAGTATGTAGCTCTAAGTTGTCACAGAAAAGGAAGTCAAAAAAGTTTAGGGCCCTCCCTGGTGGTGCAGCAGGTTAAAGCACAGCACTAAGAAGCTAAAGCCACTTCATCACCCCACCCGTGACCCACATGGCATGGCAGACCTCTCCTGACCCTCCTGCTGCTCCCCTTGGCAGTGTACTTGGTCAGTTGGCTTGTTCTGCTCCCCACTCTGTCTCTGGTGAATCCTCTCACCACCCCTGCACCTCTGGCCTGTACCCTAGTTCCATATGCATAAATAAATAATCTTTTAAAATAAAAGTTTAGCAAAATATTCTGTTGGACAGTTGCAAATAATTCCTTGAGTAAAGTATGAGGTTTAAGAATGTGGTAAAGACTAAAGGGATAACTAGTTTAGGGCAGGGTAGCTAGAGGAGGTATTACTGAATTTCATACTTGTAAATCCTATTAAAGTGACAATTTTTAGCCAATGGCTCTTCTACCTCTTGGAATTTTGTTCTCATGTAAAATGAGCTTGCTACTGGACCAGTTCAGGAACTTGTTTAGATTGTATTAAGTCATGAGCAGAATTGGATCATCTCTAGAGCCTTGCCTACTCTGATTTGAAGAACACCTCAGCTATCTTAGTATTTGAGAAACACTGATCTAAAAGATCCCACGGGGCAGGTTTGTAGAGGGCAGTGACTTTAATTCTTAAGGTGCAGATTTACAAAGTCCTTGGGCTTTCAGGGTCACTGGTATTATCTCTTCCCTATTGAAATATGAATTTTTAGTGTAGGCTCTTAATTATTATAGTGTTTTTTACTTGTCTACGTGTATAGTACTATGTTCTTAATCTGCTTTTGGGTTTTCTAATGTGAGAAACCTAGAATTATACAGAGAACCCAACTGAAGATGCTTAACTAAGCTAGATGGTGGGGCAATAGGCAGGGCAAATGGTGTCCATCTCCCTACCCCCATACATATACACAAACCAACTTTTTAAAGCTTATTTAGATGTGGGGGAGAGGAGCTGTATTTAGTTTGAAGAAGGGATAACATTTGAAAACCAGGAAATTCCTTCCTCACAAAATTTTCCTGTTAGTTTTTTTTTTGAAGGCTGGAATTCATAACAGATACTCAGTAGTATATCGAATATACTACTGGGGTAGGGAAAAACTGCCTTAAATACCTATTAAATCTTCCTAAATCTTCTGTTATGTAGCAGAGCTCACTAGTTTTTAAGAGATGTCTCATTAAGTACTGAACTGACTCCAAAATTTCCTATCTTAATTTAGAGAAGTTTGAAGCTTAAGATGAAGCAGTCATCTTATAGGTTCTATACAGATCAAGTTTAGGCAGTTTTGAACACATTGGTTTACTGGAAGGGGTCATATAGAAATACAATATGATGGAAACTTTAGTTGCATTGGACTTCTAAAGGCCAAGATTAGTGTGTGTATGTCTGGTGGGTAATCAATAAAGGTATCAGTGCAGCCTACTATCTGTTGTCTTGGTAATGCCAAACTTGCCCCAGCATACTAGCAAAACACCTGCAGAGGGACAGCAGGCAGACTCGCAGAGGTCGGTGTTAGATGAATGCTGTATTATCTTTTGCCTTATTGCTGTTTGTCAGCATCTATACAGGAGAATGTAAACAGCTCTTAGTTGGTGACATAAGAGGAATTGCTTCAATCATAGTTCTCAGTGTAGCAGGAAGCTACTTTGATACTGTAGATTCTGTGGAGGCAGAATGCCCTATAGGACCTTGGGCCACATTTCTTGGTTTCTTTTGCAAGGCTCAGTACTGAAAATGCAGCCCCTGCTTTATGTGTTGACCTTAACCTTGGGCCCAATATTTCTCTACCCATAAAAATGTATTAAGGAACTCTGGTGGTTTGGTTTAGGTGGCCCTCATAATTCTAAGAAGCCAGCTTTGGCGTGCTAGTCTCCAGATCTCTTATCAGGGTACACGCCAACTCCCAAATATGGAGCATTTGAAAAGTATCACTTTCATTTTCTATTAAGCTCAAAGAACTGCACAAAACACTTCAAAATGCTTAGCCACAGTGCTGAAACACTGGCTGCATGTGGGGGAGAGGAGGAAGAAGTGAAATACCAAATGGGCCCTTTTCCCCCGTTCAGGCTTAGTGTAAAGGTTTCACTGGTCTCTAAATGCTAAAGAGGAATCTAGCTCTTCAAGTTGGGCCTGTATCTTAAGCATAAGCACAGTGTGTTCAATAAAACATCTTTATTCTGTACAATATATATGTGTATTTAAATATATATTTATATATATATATATATATTTATGCAGAGCAACCTCAACCAACAAATCCCTGAGTCCATGGGAACCCAGGACACTAACAAAGGGAAAGGAGGGTCCATGCCCTAACAATTAGGAAATAATGGCAACATCTTTCCCTTTCCTCCAGGTTCCCTGCAACAGAGAGAAAGGGATGATCACCGCAAATTACTAAAACAAGAGGACTTACGTGGAGCAGGAAAAGGGGAAGAGGGTGGCGGGATGAGGAGCTGTGCATCAGATCCCTAACCACCAGCCCGGGAAAGTAAAACATGCTGTTTGATCCAGCATTAACACATCACTGCAGAGGAGGGGGACAGGATCGATCAACATGCAGCTGACCTTCGGTTTGCCGAGATTTAGCTCGGCAGCCCCACGCCTGGGCCAGCAGAACAAATAGCACCTGTGGGGCCTATGAGAGCGAAAACTGGGGAAATGACCCTTGAGTGAAGGGAAGGAAGATAAAGCTGAGGAATAGGCTTCATGTGTCAGCACAGGGAAGGAGCACTATCATTCACTGTCCCTGTGCCATTTCTTCATACTCTGGGCCACCAGATGTCTTTCGTCCACAGCCAGGTAGAGATGAGCAACTTACATGACTTTGAGAAGAGGTATAGAAAAAGGAGCGCTTCAAGGGCCACCCCCAGTTGTTACAGCAATTCCTGAAGTTCAGGGATAACACTGGTGAATCATGCCCGGTCCTGAGTGAGGCCGAGGTGGTGGTCAGCTCCCTCCAGTAGACAGGCCATGGGGTTGCCACAGGCGATGAGCCAGCCAGAAGGACACACACTGCTGAGGACAGCCCTGAATTCTGTCTTCTCCACCAGGACTGCCCCTCCCTGACCACACCAAGCTTGGCACCTCTCCAGAGGTGGCAGGGCGCAGTGACAGAGCACCCCTCTTTCTCTAACCTATTAACACACAGAGCCGCCAACGGGCAGCATGACTGGAAGTCACCATATATATTGTAGGGACAGCAATAGAGCTGTGCCTGCTGGAGGAGTTCAGAAGCCCATGTTGGCTTGCGCCTCTCCTGCTGCAATGGCTTGCACATCAGTGACATGGCCGATGCCCTTGGTGACACCCTCCCGGAACAGCAGCTTGGCGCCCACCTTCAGGTATTCTGGGTGTTTCAGGAAGCGGAAACGTACCACTGCCTTCTCCCCTGTCCGCAGCTTGTCCTGCAGCAGATATTTGGTCACTGGCCTTGGCTGTTGCCTCCCATCCCTTTTGCTACCAGCCGTGGCTTTCCACCCTCGGATCCTAGCAGCTTGTATCCACCCTAAGTGGGGCTTTGTTCCCGTTGCAGAATCAGGGAGTTTTCTAGGAGTCTGGGACTGGGATTCCTTTCTGAAGGCAGGAGAAATCTGACTTTTCCCTGGAAAAACGGGGACATGGCTGGTTCCCTCTCACCTTGGCATGGATCTTTTCCACCACTGCCGTCTGACGTACGTTGCCCACGTGTACTGTTACCTGGAAGCCTCGTCGGAAGGTGGTGGCATGGAACAGTAGGACTATCTCTGCCTCGAACACTGAGCAGATGGTGGGGTTCATCTCAGGGCTCACCATCACCATGCCCTGGGGAGGCACAGTCCCCAGACCCAGTAAGGGCAGACATCCAATTAAGTCTTTCTCCCCAGACACCCTTACAACCTTTTGCTCCAGAATTTTCTTCCTCTAGACTTTAAACACAGAAACCTCAGAAGACAATGTTCAAAACTTTCCTTAACAGGAAACCTTCCACATTCACCTCTCACATTCTCTAATTCATCTAATGCTATGTTTTTAGGGTCCTGGGCCCTTGGTTTGCACCAGTGATTCACAGTTAATAATCTGCACTTCACGAGAAAGACTTTAAGCCTTTCTCATCACACACGACCGTCTTTATAACCAGCTTCCTGGGTCAGAGGCTGTTTCTTCCCCTGAGTGCCTCTTAAGCACTCAGGTACTTCTCATTCAAGTAGCCAGTCTACCACTTCTGTTTCCTCTCCAAACCACCCTCCCACCTCACCTTTCGAAGGAGCGCTCGGTCAAAGTCCCCGAGGGCCAATGTAGCAGCCTGACCAGCTCGCAGCACTCGACAGGCAGAGCGGTTGCGCTGGATGCTGCATACTCTCAACTCCAGGAAGCAGCCATCGTCAGTGGGGCCAACCACCAGCTGGTCTCCCTCACGGCAAATCCCACTGCAGCCCAGAGGGCAGGTAGCACAGTGTCAGCAGAGGCTCCCCTTCCTACTTCTCTGCTAGGGTCACCCAACACACTCTTTTCCTTCTGAGGTTTCTAAGGGTGAGTTTCTCAGAGGGAAAGAAACCCTAAATTCTGAGTTGGAGGTAGGGAGATGGATGGCTGCCCCAGTCCACAGTTTAGCCTTAAAGGATAATTCTAGCAAAAGCTAGTAGTGACGGCTGGCTGGCTGGTCTGACGTGGAATACCTGATCCCTCAAGAATAAGTTATCCTCTGGGTTTCCTTTGTCCACTTTGGAGTTTTTAGGGACCTCTCATTCCTTACTTGGACGTGAATATACTCCAAGTTTCCTCCTGGGACAAAGACCCTCAGGGACCCGGGTATTCCTAGTAAGTAGCAATAATGTTTCCCCCCTCATAAGCCAACAGAATGGTTTGCTCCACAATTACCAGTGGAAAACCAATCTGTGCATAAACACATCCTTTAGCTGGGCGCTATTCAGCCACAGGGCTTCCTTTGGGTCCAGTATGTGGGTATGTGAGCTCAGTGGGTTGGGTAGCAAGCAAGACAATTCACCTGGAAAGTGTCCCTCCAACAACTGTCCCCACCTCTGGTACAGTGTAGATTTCATCCACCTAAAGCCAAGGAAAAGCCCATCAATGGCTTGCCAAGTAAGGCTAGCAGGTCCAAAATCTCTAAACTGACCTGGGGCTTGGTCAGCATGTCACTTGCAGCTCCCAGTTCTCTGCCCGTTTGCAAGGCCAGTTACCTGGAATTCTGTCAGCTGCTGCATGAGTTCCTCTTGCTCTTTGCTGTTGGTAAGTGGTGGCAGGATATTGAGAAAGACTTTGAGCAGGTCTAGACTCTCTCCAGACACACTGGACAATGTGAAGATAGGAGTGACACTGCAGAGGGAGGATGGATAGATAAGGAAAGTTCTAAGAGGAATCAGAGGTTACAGACCCATGTATGAAAAGGTAAGCTACACTTTGGGAGGCTCGGGCCCATCTCTTCTATCGGCTACACTTCTCAGGAGCTCTGAGACCTCTCTCTGTGAACCAGCCAAGGAATGTGGCCCATCCCAAAACCCAAGGGAGAGGAAAATGCCAGGAAGATCACTTGTCTCCAGAGTTCCAGGTCCCAGTAAGGCTCTGCTGGCTTGCAAGAAGGGTCAAATCCTTTAGCCAAGACCCCTCCCTTAGTCCCAACCTGAAAAGTCACAGAACTGAGGCAGAACTGGTCAGGTCCTGAGGACGTCATGTTCCTGGGCCCTGTGGCAGCCTTCTCTGTGGGAGTGAGAAAGGCTTACTTGGGTGACTGGGCAAACTGCTGGGCAGCAGTGACAGCATCATCCTCTGAGGTGACCAGCATGGGAACCTTGTGGCAGCCAGGCTGCTTAAGGACCCGCTCTAGCTGGCGCACTGTCCTCTCCACTGTGGTCTTGGCACAGAGGTCCACCTTACTGACCACGATGAAGAAGGGCACTTTCAGGGCCAGCGCCAGTCCCAGATGTTCCCTTGTGGTGCCAGCTGATTCAGAGAAGGCAGGCGGCAAGAGAAGAGCACAGGGAAGGGAGAAAAGGGAACAAGATTTGAGACTCTCAGATTTGAGGTCCAGGGTAGGAGACAGTGAGACAACCCCTTCTGGCCCCGGCCCTGCCCCAATGCCTCGTACCAATCCCAGTGTTAGCACTGACGAGGAGCAGGGCACAGTCGGGGCAGTATGAGGTGAGGCCAAAGATGGTGGTGTGCAGGTACTTGTGGTGGCCTGCCAGGTCGATGAAGGTGATCATCTTGGAGCTGCTCTCACAGATCTCTTCTGCCGTCCGTGAGTCACTGTAATTCACCACCTGGCCCAGAGCCCCGGGCTCTCAGTGCCCCCTGCCAGCCTCCCCAACCCTTTAAGAGTTGCCAGGCCCTACACCAGTCCCTGGGTGACCCTGCTTTTTTACCCTGAGCCCACTTTTAAGTTAACTCAGTTAATTCCCCATTTGTTTCTAAGGAGGAGCTTATGCAGCACCCTCAGGGCCTTCACTGACACGGCTTCACAGTCTCCATACTCTGCCCTAGGATTCTGTCCTTCATCGCTACCATCCCAACCTTAAAGTCTGGCCCCACTGGGTCCCCTTGATTGCATGCACCTCTCCCTTGCTGTTAAAGCCCAGGATCTCGAAGCTGATGCTGGAGGTCCGGCCAGACTGAATCTCATGCAGGTGGCGGAAAAGGTTGAGACGAGCCCGGCCCCGCCCATTGTCCAGCTCTCCCTGGGTCAGGACTCCAAGCAGTGTTGACTTCCCTGAGTCCACATTTCCCAGGACGGCCACACGAAGGTCTAGGAACTGTGGATGAATTGCCAGAGTAAGAGCTGTAATCTCTCGCCTTTTGCCACTGAAAGTTGGGTTACAGGTAGTGACAGGCCAGGGAAGAGCCTACCACCACAGGGCCCTCCCAGGGACAAAGGGTGAGAGAGTCAGAGATGTGTACTCACCTGTTGGTTGTCGGGGACTTTTCGTACCAGCACCTCTGTGATCTTCCGAGGCGTGTCACTATCATAATCTACTTCCCGCTCTCGGAGAACAGTGATGTCTGCCCCAACCCTGTCACAGCAAAGCCACATCTGCCATATCTTCTTTGTGCTCTTCCTCCACCATCCCCAGCCTGGCTCTGGACCAGTGATATTTCCATAATTCCCACAGAGCTCCCAACACCTTACTTCACTTCTTACCACCCTCCAACTTGCCCCACATTCATCGCTGTCTTTAAACAAATAAACCTTAAAATCAGTGGGGAAAAATGCCGAGGTCAAGGTGGAGGTGCAAGGGACTCTTACACTCCCCACTTCAGCTCTCTGTCAAGAGAGCTGGTCCCTCAGGCCTAGGAGATGGGAGTAGGCCTGCAGCCTCCCCAGAGTACAGTAAATGGGAAGTAAGGGGGAGGAGGGGAAGCATACTTCTCAGCCATCCGGTGCAGGGTCTTGAGGGAGGCCCGCATCTCTTCCTCAGCCAGCCCCACCAGCAGCCCATTGTCCTCTACCCCAATCTGGTAGACGGCCTCACCACGGCCCTCCTGGAGCCGCCACTTCATCTGTGTCACCAGGTGCTCAAAGCGGTACTGGGATGGATTCACCAGTTTCAGCTTAGGACAGGTGAGGGATCGTGAGAAGGTAAAATCAGAAGCTCCTCCTAAACACACAAGGTTGCCTCCCCTCCCCGTCCCCCTTCGTCGCCTGTCCTGCTGCAAGGACCAGGACCATTCCTGCAGCCCCTCATCCTCAGTCCTCTAGCAGTGAGCCCCCAACTAAGAGAATGACACACAGAGCCCTCACCCTGAGCCACATTCCTAATCTGCTATGGATCATGAAATTGGAAGGATCTCAGAGAAATCACCCCACACCCCAAGGATAACCTGCCCCGCCACAGGAGAAGACTCACTTTATATTCGATGTTTCCATCTTCAGCCTGAAAAGAAACCGGGAGCAGTCACCACACACCATCCAGACCCAGCCTCTACTGCCCCCTGACTCTCACTGCCACAGGTGACTAGCTTGAGAAAGCAGGAAGTCCCATGGCACCTGCTAGCTGGAGGCCTAGCAAAGGTCACTGGCAAATTGCCCTCAGTCCCCAAGCACCTGTCAGGAAGAAAGGCCACTAATAATTATCCACCTAAGTCAAGAACAGAATCCCTCTTCTGATCCCTGGCAGCACATTCTTATCAGATACAAGATCACCTCTTCCTTCTCCCTAGGGCCTCAAACTACTATATGTCTCCTGTCCCAGGCTGCTAAACCCATTCTTTGCCACTCTCTGGGAGACCCCCTTTTCCTCCAACCACACCCCACTTGGCGGATGTCATCCCCAGTAAGAGGCTGCAAGAGGACAAGGATCTGGAGCAGAGCCAAGAGGTAAGCTTAGCAGTGGTCACTACTAGCCCAGTAAGAGCAATCCAGGTGAGAGAGGAGTGGGCACCAAAGTTGGGGCTGAGATGAAGAAAAGGAACTCAGAAAACATAATAAAGGGGACAGGCTCCACAAACCAGACTCGGTGGCTTTTACCTCCTGTCCTCTAACCCTCAGCTGAAATTTTGAACCTACCCTACAATCTCCTCTACCTCTTCCCTGTATCAGATGACACACACAGAAACATCCTGTTGCTTGAGCCTTCAAATCTAGGATGCAGAGGGGTGTGAGATTTGCATCTGCCTATCCTGCAATCAACACTATTTCTCTCTGACCATTTTCTTTTTCTCTTTTTTACATTTTAAAAAGACAGGTTTATTAGGAAAATGAGAAAGAAAAAAGTCACAGGCAGACAGGAGAGCTGCCTAGCCATTTTATTTTTAATCTTCCCTTCCTGTCATCTTTCCACTCCAGCAAGGGACAGACCTAACAGGTCTTCACCCATAATCTTCACCTCATGGATTACTCCACTTCATGCTGTTTCCTCATCAACAAAGACCTTCCTTTTTACTCTCTTGCTGGAGATGAAGAATTAGGATGGATGGTTTTCGAGAAGTAATACAAGGATGATGGCCTAGAGCAATGGTTCTCAAAGTGAGGGCCCAGAAGCATTAGCATCACCTGAGACTTGTGTAAGAATGCAGATTATCAGGCCTATTTTGACCTACTGAATCAGAACTTCTAGGGAGGGGGCAGCAATCCAGCTGATTCTGTTATATACTAAACTTTGATAACCACTGGCTTAAGACTCTACCTGTGGGTCCTCCCTTTCCTCCAAGGGAAAGAGTAGCAGTTATTCTCTACCTTAGGGATAGAAAGAACAGACTTGGGGCAGGTGTCTCCAATTCCTCATAGGACAGAAGATTAAGGCTGCTGGTGTGTGTGTGTGTGTGTGTGTGTGTGTGTGTGTGTGTGTGTATACACACTCGGGGATACAGAGAACATATTGCTCCTTTCCCGGGTTCTCCCCACCTCCCCGTGGAACAAGTTTAGGAAACTCGTCTTCCTCATCCCTACACACAGCCGTCCCTTGCCCAGCTGCAAAACAAGGGGAGTGGTTGGGGGGATGGCGGGGGAAGGACAGCGGCATTCTACTCTGCTTTCCCCAAGGAGGTCGGAGTGGGATCCCTTTTCCCCACTTCTTCCGTTGTTATCTAGATCAGAATGAGGGGGGATCTTCCTCCTTCTAACTCCCAGAGGTCCTGATACCGGAGGGGAGATCTATTTTCTCAGTCCCTCCTCCCTGGAGTCCTGGGACCGGAAGAAGGGTTTCACCTTTCCCCAGGGGTCTTCACACCAAAGAGGGGGTGTTAATTCTGTGTCCCTCTTTCTTGGAGTCCCGAGAACGGAAAGGAATCGTTTCTTCTTACCCCACCATTTCTCAGATACTCACCTCGGGGGGCAGGTATGGGGGATTGTTGGCTTTGCCCCCTCTGTTCCTTCCGTTCTTTTTCTTCCCCTTCGGGCCCCCGCAGCCGCTGCTGCCGCCGGCCCCCCTAGCCTTGAGGGTTCCGCCCACGGCCGGGCCCCCTCCGGGCCGGCAGCAGCCGCCGAACAGCTCCGATACCCGTGAGTCCATCCGCTGCTGCCGCCAGCCCCCCGCCCGGCCCCTCCCCCCCGCCACCGCCACCGCCCCTACTGCCACCACCGCGTCCGGCCAGCCAGAGGAGAGCGGGGTGGGGCCCTGCAAGGCCACGCCCCCACCGTGCCCGGTCTGAGTCGCGTCAGAAACAGCCGCGGGGCACCACGGGATATAGAGTCCTCAAGCCTGGCACTTTTCTCAAAAGAGTGCGCTATGATCCTACAACTCCCAGGAGACATTGCGGCTCAATGTGGCCGCGTGTGGCTTCGGGCGCTGGGAAGGAGCGCGCCTTTGCCTGCAAAGACTTAAGGGAGATGTAGTTTGTTTTATGGTCTCCGCGCTCTGAGCGGGTCTTTTCCTAGGGCCTGCGGCGAAGTTTAGAACCCGTGATCTGAGGGGCGGGGCAGCCAGGGAAGCCGTATGGCTTGCATCAGAACTGTTTTGTGGGCATTGCTGGTTTGGCCCTTTATCGCGTTTTGGAATCGGCCAGCTACAAAGTTCAGGGCCCCTGGTCCCTCCAGCCTCCTGGCTTTGCCTCTGCCTCAGTTTCTTCTCTGACGGCCAGCGTGCCGTCTGGGTGAATCAGGGCATAAGCTAGGGCGGAGGCGGATGGTGGTTAGCTTAATTATGGCTGTTATTGTTGCGATGATTATGCCGCCTTTACATAGTAGTCACAGCTTTATTACAGCTGGCACCCTCCGGGGGCTGGTTTTAGCCGTCGGAGTCACTGCCGTGGCTCCGACACGAGACCAGGACCAGTAAACCAGTTTTGCTGCCTGAAGGCAACGAGGATGCCGGAAGCAAGTATTACCCCTCCCCTTTGTTTTGAAGCTGAACCAATCCGGAACAACCGAGTTTGGTTTTAAAACCAAACTGTGGAAGGGACCAGGCCCCTATTTGGGGCGGGACTGGAAATCCGGTTACGTCAATCACTACGAAGAAGGGGGAAGTTAAGTGTCCTGAAATAGAAACTTGGCTGAGGCCCCAGGGGATTGCTGACTCTTGCCAAACCATCTTTCTTGCTCTTTAGGGTTCTCGAAGTCAACGAAGAGTAAACGCATTCAAGCGACATAAACCATTGTGTAAGATACTAGAAAGGCAGTGTGAAGAAGCAGTTAGTGTTCCTATATAAGAGTCAAGACGCTAGGATTCGATTCCCAGCCCCAGTCTATTTCATGACTCACCAGTCACCATAAATTTACTTCCCTTTTCTTCACAAACAGCAACATGCTTTCACACAGCCAAGAAATAGAACAGCTCTTCCCTCCAGACCTCAGTTTTCCTTGGAAAGCTAGAAGCAGCAACAGTGGCTTACCTCTGGTAATCCTTTCAGGGGTTCAGACCTGGTGCAGTCCATGGTTTCCCCCCCAAGACCACAAGGAGGGAGGCAGGTTAGAGATCATGTAGTTGCTGTCAACATGGCATACTCCCCCAAAGAGTGGGAGCATGAGGACAAAAATCAGCAAAAAGGCCTCGCAGATCCAACTAATTCTGCAGTCTTCAGTGGTTGAAAACACCTGTGACTTTTCTCTTCTCAACCCTGTTCAATTGAAGGAAGGTTATGCTGCAGTGGTCAACCCTTCCCATGGATACAACCCCAGCAGGGAAACTGCTACTTAAAGACTGAGTCAAAGGGCACAGTGAGAGATCTCAAGAAGGATGGGGATTGGAAGGAAAAACTAAGACCATTCCCCCAACGTTCTCATCACCACCAGTTCTGGACTCTCCTGATAACTAAGGCCTCCTGCACTGACCTGATAACATTTGCCCTCTCATCTTCAAGGATCTTTCAGTCACCCCGACACACAATTTCACATTTCATGTCAATCCCCTTGTCTCCTAAGTGGGTAATTTTTTTAAGAGATGGGCAGGGATAACCATTTTTGATATCCCTGAACAACCAAGCTTACCGCCAGCAGGAATGAAGGCTAGAAGAGGAAGGAGTAGGCTGAAACAGCAGTGTCTTTCCAGGAGATCAGAGTCCAGGGAGATGGGAGGTAGTATATGTGTTTGGTTTCCCAAAGGGGTTACTTATAAGGTGCTTGGCTATGTATATATATATGTCATAGGTACACACACACACACAAATATTTCTCCTGGTATGCAATTAGTCATTCTTTGTGTATAGTACCTTCACATACATTTTAAACAGACTTAGCAATCTTTCCCTTATACTTTGATTTTATATCATGCCTAGACAACATCACTGCTAGGTTATAAATTACACCCCAATATTTTCTCCTAGAACTTTTGAGGTTTATTTTTATGTTCATCTTTTTTTAAAAAAAAAGATTATTTATTTATGCACACAAGAACTGGGGTGCAGGCCAGAGGTGCGGGATGGGGTGAGAGGATTCACCAGAGAAAGAGTGGGGTCAGAACAGGCAGATCTACTGAGATACACTGCTAAGGGGAGTAGCAGGCAGGTCAGGAGAGGAAAGAGAGGTCTGCCATACCATGTGGGTCAGCTCCTTGTCCGGGAATTAGACTTGTGCCGCAATGTCTTCAGATACCTTCACAGTGCTGTGATTTACCCATTGTGCCAACAGGGAGGGCCCTATTTTTACAGTTAAGTGCCTAATTCATTTGGATTTATCCCTTATGTGGGATGTGTAGAGGAAACCAATTTTATTTTTTTTCTTCTTGATGGATAGGGAATTGTCACAAGTTATTTGCTGTGAAAACTAAGTCTCACCAACTATCACAATCTCTCTCTCTCATACACTGAGATATATAGATCAGTTTCTGAACTTTTTTTTTTCCTTTCTATTTCCAGCACCTCATCATGTTTTGTTTGTTTACTACTTAGTCAATTCCACAGTATATTAATCTTTGTAATTTCATTGCATCTTTTTGAGCTCTGGCTCCTATTTCCTGAAATCTTTGTTTTTTAAACTTCCCTCACCTGATATTTGTCCTTAATTCTTTAAACTTCTTTGGCTACTCTTCAGTCTCTTCCACACTCTTTTCTCTCTTTGTCCATCCTCTAAACATTAGTGCATTCAGGATCCCAGTTTATCCTGAGTGTCCTTATCCACTCCCATGCTTCTGACTCTCAAATACATCTCTCTAAATATATTTTTTTAAAGATTTATTTACTTTTATGCGTACAGAACTGGGGTATAGACTAGAGAGGCAGGGGCATAAGAGGATTCACCAGAGACAGAGTGGGGAGCAGAACAGGCAGATTGATGAAGTACACTGCTGAGGGGAGCAGCGGTCAAGTCAGGAGAGGTCTGTTGGGCCATGTGGATCACCTCCCGGTGGGGGATCGAACTTGCACTGAAGTGGCTGAGGCCAGCTTGCAGTGTTGCACTTTAACCCACTGTACCACCAGGGAGGGCCTCTCTCTAATCCTAATGCTTTTCCTAAATATCTCTTCACTATCCAGTGAAATAGAAAATTCAGTAATGAAAAACTGAATTCAACTTTCTCCCTTACCCATGTCCCCCAAAACCTGGTCCTCAGCTAGTATTTCCTCTATTTTTGAATGGCACAACTGGCACAGAGCTATTGGGAAGAAAAAAAGAAACAACTGATCTTCATGGTAGTCTCTTTATAAACTTCTTTCTGAGATCAGTCAAGTCATGCTCATTGGATTTACTTAATTCTCTCTAGGGTTTCTTCAGTTCTCTCCACCTCACTGTGAATACCATAATTCAGGTCTCTCACCATACACTTGGGTAATTGCAGTTGCCAGTTTTAACTGGTATCCCTGCCTCCTCTCTTATCCTCCCTATAATCTAATCTCTACCCAGCATCCAATGTAGATTAAATTTATGTAAATTTAATTATGTCACTTCCCTATTTAAACTCTAGCTCCCTCCCTACAGGGTCAAATACAAACACAGAGCCTATGAGGCCTTGGCATGATCAGGCTCTTGTCTGCTGACCACAGCCTTAACTCTACAATCTGTACTCCTTGACCAGAGGATGCTTTTGTCTCTCAGGGTCTCCAGACCTGTAGGGCATCTTCTTGAAAATTCTCATCCCACAGGTCACAGCCTCCTTCTGAGGCATTCCAGTTCTTCACATTCACAGGCCCTATACCCCTCATTTTATAATTCACGACACTGTATACAGCGGGTGCTTCTGGCTTGCCTGCCGCAGTCTCCAGTACCTAGGTCAGGGTCTGGCACGAAATAGTTGCACAGTGAACGCAGGAGCGACCGGCAGCGGGAGGGGCGTGTCTTTCGGAAGTTAGCGCTCGGCGGCTGAGAGAGCGAGGGTTCCTTGTTGGGGAAGGGTTCGGCGTGTCCCCGCGAGGCGTGCCCCCGCGAGGGTGTTAAGGAAGGCGCTCAGGCCTCAAACCCCAACCCAGCCCAGCTTGGATCCACTTCATAGCCGCGGCACCGCGCCCTCACTTCCGGTTCTGCGGAGCCGGAAGTCGAGGCTTTGGCTTCCCATGATACCCTGCGGGACACCTATTCAAACCGAACTGAGAAGAGGGAGGAGGTGGCGATGGCGGCTCCGGAGCCGGGAGTGCTGACCCGGATCGCTGTCCCTGGTAAGGAGGGGGGTTCGCAGCCCCGGGAGCCTGGGAGACAGTTTCCGCCCTGCTGTCGCTTCTCCAGTCACTTAGCCTTCCCGGTTTCCCGACGTCTCTGTGGCTTTGGCCCGGTCCCGGTGACTCCATTGCCCCCGCCGCTCTGGACGCTCTTGCCCCTACTTTGCCTTCCTCTTGGCACCGTTCTGGACCCCGCTGGACTACATTTTCTTTCATTTTCAGATGAGGGCCTCCGCTTTCTGGGCGGGGCTTCAGTCGTTGTGTCTGAAGATACCCCCCTCTTTCCACTGCGCCCCCTATGCCCATCCTGCCGTCACTTACATCACCTTAGGCGACTGGAACACAGAATCTCCCTACCACTGCCCACATCCTAGGAGTTTTCGGAGGGAATACGCCTCTGTCGGGGCGTGTCCTCCGTAGCGGTGGCTGATGAGGCCATAAGGAATGGAAAGACTGACTTTGGCCTTTACGTTTTTCATTTTTCCCCTTTATTCCTCTGGCATTACCAGACATGGAGTGGTATGAGAATTCGGAGGAAACGCACAATTCCCAGATAGAACTGCTTGAGACTACCTCGGCCCAAGAACCTCCCAACCCCTCAGAGACCTTTCGCCCCAGAGACTGCATGGTGCCAGTGGTGTTTCCAGGGCCGGTGAGCCAAGAAGGCTGCTGTCGGTTTACTTGTGAACTTCTGAAGCATATCATGTACCAGCGCCAGCAACTCCCTCTGCCCTATGAACAACTTAAGCACTTCTACCGAAAACTTCCTCCCCAGGTAGGCATAGATTTTGGGACAAGTTGTTGGGGGAGACTATCACTCTGAGACCTTAGGCAGGTAAAAAAAGGAGGTCTACAAAATCTTCAAGGCCAGTGATCCTAAGCAGCTAGCTTCAGGAATGCATTGGGGCCTTGTGGCTTCTGTCACTTTGTCCCCATGCTAGTGCTTTCATAGTCTAGCCCTGCTAAATTACCAGTTCCTGAGCCTTTTCTGGGATTCAGCCGCGTGAATCAGTTTGCTTCTCATAGGTGTCTCCTCTGTCTGCGCTTGGTATTCAGCTCTCGTGAACTCTTCCATCTGCTTTCTACCTTTTAAAAGGTAGCCTTGGACCTCTGTTGTCTGTGTTCAGTTCGCTTTATACTTGGAATCTCACTTTGTCTATTCTCCCCTTTTTTCTCCTTCGTTTAATACTATTTCAGAGGGCAGCACAAATAAGCATGTGCTCATTTTTCCAAGGATTCCTGAAAGACCAACTCCAGAATCACCATTTTTGGACTAAATTATCTTCATTCCTGTTACCACACCCAGGACAACAAAAATTTGCCGCCTGCCAACCAACCTCCTTGATTTCTTTTAGTTGCTTATTTTGTTTTTGCTGCTCTTGGCATGGGAATATTATGGTTTGACACACAGTTTATTTCCTTTTTGACCTATTTCCCTATGAAAAAGCTCAGTGTTTGACCATGGGGTCCTCTGAATGGGAAACTCTCAACAGGGTTCTTCAAAGGGCATTATTTAGCGTCTCTCTACTTTGTCCTTCTCTCTTACCATTCTTTATCTTCACAGGCAGAGGATGTGGTGAAGAAGAAAAATCGGGCCACTGCTGAGGCGAGTAGCAGAAAATGCCAGCAAGCCCTGACAGAACTGGAAAGTGTCCTCAGCCACCTAGAGGGACTCTTTGCCCGGACTCTAGTGCCCAGAGTGCTGATTCTCCTTGGGGGAAATGCCCTAAGTCCCAAGGAGTTCTATGAGCTTGACTTGTCCCGCTTGGCCCCCAATAGCATGGACCAGAGCCTGAGCACAGCAGCTTGTTTGCGCCGTCTCTTCCGAGCCATTTTCATGGCTGATGCCTTCAGTGAGCTGCAGGCTCCTCCACTCATGGGCACCATTGTCATGGCACAAGGGCATCGCGACTGTGGAGAGGATTGGTTTCGACCCAAGCTCAACTACCGAGTACCCAGCCGGGGCCACAAACTGACTGTAGCCTTGTCCTGTGGCAGTCCTGCCATCCCAACCACTGCCTGGGAGGATTATATTTGGTTCCAGGCCCCGCTGACCCTGAAAGGCTTCCATGAGTGAATGGGGAACCTTCTTGATCGTGAACAGTGACTCAATTATTTTCCCCCTTGTGGCATCAGCTTTTGCTGATGGATTCTAGCCTGCCTGCCTGCCTCCTCTCTTCACATTTCCTCATGGCTGTGGCTATAATAATCATCTTTGAACAACACATCTTTGAATCAAAGGTTGATTTTTCTCAGAAGGTGCTGGGTAGATGATTCTGTTTGTGATCAGCTAACAGTCTTGGGCCCATAGACACACTTAAGAGGGTGGCTCTTTTCTGCTTTTTGCTGTGCTTTCCAGAAATCTTACTAGATGTAGTGTGGGTGTGTCTCATGAACTTAAATATAAAATGGCTAGATAGTGGTTTGCATTTTCTTGAAACTTTTGGCTAAAGAGAATTTCCTGGCTTGCGGCTAGAGTACTTTGGCCTTTCTCCTTGCCTTCTTATGCTTCAGGGCTTTAGTTTCAGGCCAGTATGGGAAGTAAAGTGACTTACTAGGTTTCTATCACAATTTGATAGGAAAGTTGGGACTAAGTCCTTATTAGCCAACTCTCGCCCTTTGTTCTTTCCTTACCACTTGCTGGCTTTTGTGATCCTTAAAGTAGCTGCCCAAAGCAGAGGTCACATGCGAGGGGGTCTGAGAATACTGTCTTTGCAAGCTGTAGGCTAGAGGCCCAGACCCCAGCACTTCCCTTTGTTAATCAGTTCCTTGAAGCCAAATGTCCCTCTGCCTTCTCTGGTGGCTTCTAGCAGCTACTATTGTCTCTGCAAACACTTCCCCCCCTTCCTGTGGCGATTCCTCCTCACCTACATTGCTGAGTCGGCTACATGTCCTTGCTTTTATTCTCTTCCTTACTACTGCCCTAACCACTAAGTCTTGACTTTTGTCCCTAAGGAACCCTGCTTATATTTTAAGTTGAGGACAGAATCCTCAATCTACTGCTGTTGGAGATAGATATGTGTGTGTGTGCGTGTGCATGGGTGCCTGTGTCTGTAAGTACAACAGACACATAAACAATAGAAATATAAACTTTTTTTATGCTTAAGGATTTTGTGTTTTTTATGTTTCACTAAGGAAACATAAAAAGTTTAGTTTATATTTTATTCTATATTTTAAGCACTTTACATACATTGTCTAATCTTAACAGACTTGCACAGTATTTTTATTGTTCCTGTTTTATAGATGAATGAGACTTGGGGAGATTGAAACTACTTGCCTGGGTGACACTGTATTCAAACCCAGTCCACCGGGCTCTAGAGAGTGAGTGCTTTACAATGTGTTGTACATCCTGTGTTGTTTTACTCTGAAATAATTAAACAAGATTTGACCTGCCAAAGGTGGTAGCATTGGAATGTTGCAGGGCTTCCTTCTCTGGCTTTAGATTGTGGTCCCCGAAATGAAATTGCCATTCATAAGTGCTGAGCAAATATAGAATTAATGAAAACGTAAGTTTTGGAGTACTTAACTGTGCTATCACTACTTGAAGTATATTCCACCAGCTAGAATTTGACTGATTGTCAGGTATATGCTACAGGAGAGGAATAGAGTCCTACCTCCCAACTGAGAAAGAACAGGCTGAGAGGCCTGAATAAAAGGGGGAGTGTGTTGAACAATGAAGTTATAAATTGTTTTGAGATGGAAGACACATTAAGCCAAGCCAGATTCCTTAAAGTACTAGTTTTAAAAGTCTTCAGAAACAATGCCTTGGCAATCAAAACAAAATAATTATTTGGGTAATTTAGATACTTCTCTATTGGCTCGGCACTGGGGCCCATATATTTCATGAGTCCTTCAAACAAATCCAAAAATTAAAAAATCAGTTAATATTAACAATAAAGCCCACCTCCTTCCCTGGCAACAAACATGCTGAGGAATCTGGCTTTATGGGTTTGACCTTGGACTGCAGAGGTTGTACTGGCAATTTCCCAGAGAATTAAGGTGGCACTGAGTCAGAGAGAGAAAGATTTGTCACACTGGCAGGCTTAGTGAGTTAGCTCCCAAAAGTCAGCCCCAGAAAGGCAGAAATGGCAGGGTTTTATACAGTTTGTATGCAGAATAAAGACTTTTAGCCCAAGCATTGAAGAGCCCCAGCTGTGGTGGTGTTCTGGTCTTTCATCTGTGGCCACCATTGGGACCTGAAAACAATAGTGGCAGGTCCCAAGAAAGATATATGTAGGTGGTAGTTGATGGCAAAATGTAGTTTTTAAGTAACATACTTTTTTTGTATCCCTACACTCCTGTTGTGGCTGTATACCTTGCCCCATTACCTAAGTCTCCATTTGTCACGTCAAGTGGAATAGACCTTTAGAAGGTAAATAATAAGGTATTTGAAGACTCAAATAAAAGGATGAACCCCATTCGATAAGACTTGATTTGGGGGAGATTGTCTTGAAACCCTAAACTCTTATAGGCTGGACTGGGACCTCCTATCACACACTTGGTTAAAGAGGGGGGAGCCCACCTCTTGTCATGATGACTGAGCACAGGATGTCCCCAACTCTGAAAAGGAGAGCTCATTGTATATGCCCAGACTTGGCAAAGGCTGACCGGAGGTGTAAGAGAGCTGGGCCAGGGACTGTTGGAAAGTGGAATCCTGCTTACTGCCTTGCGGAGGGGTGGGGCTTTGGTTTCCATAGAGACGGCTTCTCCTAGCAACTTCCGCGGTCGTTGAGCAGGTTAGCAGGCAGGATGGACGCCGAGAGCCTCCTGCTGTCGCTGGAGCTGGCATCTGGCAGTGGGCAGGGTCTCAGTCCCGACCGGCGGGCCTCGCTGCTCACCTCCCTTCTGCTGGTTAAGCGCGATTACCGTTACCACAGAGTCCTCTTCTGGGGCCGCATCCTCGGCATCATCGCCGATTACTACATCGCACAGGGCCTGAGTGAAGACCAGCTCGCACCGCGCAAGACGCTGTACAGGTGGAGGCAGCGCAGGGGCAGGCCAGGCGGGGCTGAGGCGGCAGGGGGATGCTGACAGGGGACGCTGGGCGTTGGAAAGGGGTGCTCGCGCAGCAGGACTCAAGAGGGGCGGGCCTCTGAGCTCCAGAGAGCAGTTGGACTAAATTCTAGGGCCTGAGAGGCCGGCAGGGGCGGGCGGAACTAAAAGAGAGAGGATGGAGGGGCAAAACCCTGAAAGCCCAGCAAGGCCGAAGGGGTGGGGAAGCACGGAGATGAAATCTAAGGGGAGGGGCCCTGGGAAGACCCGGGATGGGGGCTAGAGAAACAGGCAGGCGGGTGACCTTATAGTAGAGACACTGCCAAGAACCCGAGGTGGAGCAAGATAGGGAGGCAGGTGTAGTCCTGGCTTTCCTAGAAACTCAGTTTGGGTCTTCAGTGGTGGTGTCGGCTCATAGTGGGAGTCGCTCTGGGGAGTAGTGAACTCAGGAGGAATGGGAAAGAAAGGACTTAAGAACTGGAGAAACCTCCCTGAATACTACCATACAGTATCATTTAATCTTTTTGTTTTTTTAAACCAGCCCCCCTGGTCATGAGGGGCTAGACATCTTATAAAATAGTCCATTGAGGTTGCAGGAAATTGGACTCATTTATCTAGTCTTGTGTCAATCCTGCACTGATTGCATGCATCCTGTGCTGCACTTGAGGCTACAGAGATGGCTAAGATCCACCCATATCTCCAAGTTATTTACACCCAAGGGCCGGAGACTTTCCTTAACCCAATAGTTAGAGCAAAATGTGTTAAAACTAAAGTAGATATATATATATATACACAAAGGGGAACCAAGTCAGGGCTCCTTTTTTTTTTTAAGATTTATTTATGCGTACAGAACTGGGGTACAGGGGTGGTGAGAGGATTCACCAGAGACAGAGTGGGGAGCAGAACAGGCAGACTGAGGAAGAACACAGCTGAGCGGAGCAACGGGCTGGCAAGACTAGAAAGGTCTGCTGTGCCACGTGGGTCACCTTCCTGGCCAGGAGGTGGCCAGGGATCAAACTGGTGCTGAAGCAGCTGCAGCCAGCTTCATAGTGCTGCTTTAACCAGGTGTGCCAACCGGGAAGGTCCAAGTCAGGGCATTTTAGAGAGGTATCACTAAGAGATACCTGGTTGAGATTTGAAAGAGTCAGTTCTCCAGAGAAGTGCTGGGGAAGAAGTATGCCAGTTAGAACAGTTCTGCAAGCTTGTTGGCTGGAGTGTCTGAAACAACAGCAGGTGGATAAACATGATGGTGACAGCCCATAGTATTAGGTAGAACTGGATGGCCACTGAAGTCAAGGGGTTTGAGCTCTGGCCATAGGCTATGGTGGGGCCATTGAGGGGCTGGAAACAACAATCAGCTGAGGTCTGAGTGGGCAGGATAGCCTTGAATAAATACTTAGGAGTCATTTAGGACCAAAAGGAAGAGGTAGCTAAAAGAATGGAGTGGAAGGGATGGGTTGGAAAGATTAAAGTGGTAGAGCTGGCAGGGCTGTGACTGACTGACTGGAAGGGAGATGAAGAGGTCACGGTTTACCCCTTTCCAATTAAGGGAGCTGGGTAAATTGGTATATATGTGACTACTGGGAGAGAATAGAGAATTTGGGGAGCAGGACTAGGGGAGAGCTAGTGAGTTAGGAATGAGGGTCATAGGGAGGGGGCAGGGTGATAAGGAGGCATAGTAAAGTACAAATCTGGAGTTCAGAAGAGAAATTTAGACTCAAAATAGAGATTTCACTTTATAAGTTTTTGTTCTCTCTGGACCCAGGAATTGATCTGGGCACCAGGAATTCAGTGGTAATAGAGACAAATCCTTGTCTTCATGGAGGTTACATTATAATATGTTGGTGGGAGGGGTATGGGAGAAAGACCATACATCAATACACATATTGCAGATCAACTGATGTTAAGTCCAAGAAGAGCAGAGAACACAGGGTGGGATACTATTTTTTATTTATGCATATAGAACTGGGGTACAGGCCAGAGGTGCAGGGGCAGTGAGAGGATTCACCAGAGACAGAGTGGGGAGCAGAACAGGCAGATCAACAACGCAGCCTGCTGAGGGGAGCAGCGGGCGAGACAGGAGAGGTCTGCTGCACCATGTGGGTCAACTGTGGGGCTGAGGATTGATCTGGCACTGAAGCAAAGTGGCTGTGGCTAGCTTGCAGTACTGGGCTTTAACCCATTGTGCTACCAGGGAGGACCTACGATACTATTTTAATTAGGATGGCCAGGGATGACATCTCTGATAGGTAACAATTGAGAAGAAACCTGATGCAAATGAGAGAGTGAACTATATATTCATCTGAAGGAAGAGATTTCCAGGCAAGTGCAAAGGTCCTGAGACATGTGCTTAGCATGTTTGTGGGACCCCATTGTGATTGGTGTGACTGAAGTGAGGAGTGAGGAGGGGAGCATTGTAGGACATGAAGTCAGAGATGAGTGGCCAGAGACAATCATGTAGAACTTTGTTGGGCATTAAGACTTGGCTCAATGAGAAGTTATTGGAAGATTCTGCACAGGGATATGATCTGGCTTAGGTTTTTTTTTTTTTAAGATTTATTTATTTGTGCATACGGAACTGGGGTACAGGCTAGCGGTACAGGGGCGGTGGTAGAGCTGCAGGGCGAGAGGATGAGAGGATTCACCAGAGACAGAGCGGGGAGCCGAACAGGCAGCTTGTCGAAGTATACTGCTGAGGGGAGCAGCAGGTGGGTCAGGAGAGGTCTGTTGTGCCATGTGGATCACCTCTGGTGCCAGGGATCGAACTCATGAGGAAGTGGCTTTAGCTTCTCAGTGCTGTGCTTAACAGTTGAGTTGGCATTGGACTGAAGAGAGAGCAGGCATGGAAGGGGGAGGTCAGTTCTGAGGCCGCAGCAATATCTAAGCAACAGCAAATTGAACCGGGGGACAATCAGTGGTAAGAGACTGGATTCTGGATATCAACTAGGCAGTAGCTAGGGGCCTACAGAGTCAGATGGGTGAGACTCCAGGGAGCAGAGGGGTGTGAATAGATCCCTGAAAACATTTAGGGTACCGGAGGAGGGAGAAGGGAGATGTCAAAGGAAAAAGAAATGGAAGTGCATATAACTTTT